GCCCAACAGTTCCCCGGACAACCCCCAATGTTTCCCCCAGTGAATCACCCTCAATGACCACCAGCTGTGGGGCAGAAACCAGTTCAGTTATTCCAACTCAGACTGATTCCCCACATAAGCCAGATATAGCAGTCTCATTGGTCACCCCTTCTGCAGAGACCAGCCCAACTGTCCCCACAACACCTCCAGTTTTTTCCAAAAGTGTACCAGACACCAAACACTCAGTAGGCACCAGTCTTGGGGCAGAAGCCAGTTCAGCTGTTCCAACTCCAACTATCTCCCCTGGTGTACCGGATATGGTGACCTCCCAGGTCCCTAGTTCTGAGACAGATGCCAATATGACTATTCCAAGTCTAACTCTTTCTCCTGGTGAACCAGCAACCACAGCCTTATTGGTCACCCAGTCCAGTGCAAAGACAAGCACAAATTTTCCTAGTTCAACTGCTTTTCCTCATTTACCACCAGAGACCGTAGCCTCCCCATCCATCCGACCTGAGTTGGAGATTAGTGAAGCTCTTCCAACTCAGACTGTTTTCCTCAGTCCAGAAGAAATAACATCCTTCACCACACCTGCAACTGAGACCAGCGGAGTTGATCTAGGTCCAACTATCTCATTTGGTGTTCCTGCAGAAACAGCCTCACTCTCCACCCATCTTGGCACAGACATGAGCACAACGATTTCAAGTTCAACTCTTTCCCCCATTTTACTGGCGACCACAGGCTTACTGGCCACCAGCCCTGCATCAGATGCCAGGACAGGTATCCCAACTTTGACTGCTGGTGATCTTGGACCTGTCAGTACCCCTGCAACCACTGGTGAGCCTTACACCTTAACTTCCTGGGGCACAGAACCCTCACCACCTGTGACCTCAGGTGGACTCCCTGAATTGTCCAAGACTGTGATGGGGAACACTGTGACCTTGATAGCATCAGAGACCCCAACACCACCTAAAACCAGTCACAGAGAAGGACTGAGTTCAACAACTGTCCTGAAAACCACAACTCTTGAGACCACTAATTTAGCTGTTACAGGTTCAGGCCCCATCATAGTAGAGACCACAACCACCTTCAATACATCAGCAGGAAGTCCCTTTGTCCCTGAGACCTCACCTGGGATGTCCACCTTGACCTCTCTGAGTGTGGCTTCAGAAACAAGTAAGAATGGCTTTTTTTTACTGTGGTAAAAGTGTATATATACTATAAAATTAGCCATTCTAAATGTACAATTCAGTGGCATTAATTACATTCACAATGTTGTATAAATGTTATCCTATCTTTCTCCAAAACTTTTTATCACCCCAAACAGGATCTGTGTACCCATTAGACGTTAGCTTTCCTTCCCCACTCACCTCAGCCCCTGGTAATTCTAATCCACTTCTGTCTTCAATTTGCCTATTTTAGATACCTCATGTATGTGGAATCACATAGTGTATTTGTGTGTGTGCGTGTGTGTGTGTGTGTGTGTGTGTCTTATTTCACTGAGTGCAATGTCTACATGTCGTAGTGTGTATCAGAACTTCATTCCTGTTTATGGATGACTGACATTCCATTGTGTGGATGGACCACATTTTATCTGTCTGCTCATCTGTTGATGGACACTCAGGCTGTTTCCACCTTTTGGCTACTGTGGATAATGCTACTATGAATGTGGGTGTACATGTATCTGTTTGAGTCCCTGTTTCCAATTCTTTGGGGTACATACCTAGAGAAAGAATTGCTGTTAGGTGATATACTAGTTCGTTAGGGCAACAGTAATGAAGTACCAAATACTGGGTGCCTTGAACAATAGAAATTTATCAGTTCTAGAGGCTGGAGGGGACCCTGGGAGAATGCGTAGAACATGAACTTTGGAGTCATCCTCTCTGCAGGGGGCAGTAAGGGAGCTGGGGTATCTATCCACCAACTCCCATCAATCATTGCTAGTGGGGTGCTCCCTGGGCCTGTTCATTTCTCCAAGATGAAGAGATGCAGGTGCTACTATGTGCTGAAATGGTAAGAGCCAAGGGGAAGTGGGAGTAGGGTGACTAACTCATCCCAGTTTTCCCAAGACTGTCTCACTTTTCCAACTGGACATCTGCATCCCAGGAACTCACACAGTCCTGGGAAAGCTGGGATGGTTGGTCACCCTATGTGGGAGGGTCTTGAATAGCAGGCCAGTCTAGGCCAAACCCCAGCTCAGCGCTGGAGTTAAGGTGTGTCCTTGGAGCCTTCCCTCCCACCCCCAGCCCAGGCCTGACTCAGGACTGGGCTCATTAACTCTTCTACCACCACAGCTGCAGTTCCTTTCTTGATGCCTTTTACTGTCAACTTCACCATCACCAACCTGCACTACACAGAGGACATGGAAAACTCGAGCTCTGAGATATTCAATGCCACTGAGAGAAACCTGCAGCACCTGGTGAGAGCCCCCTGCCAATGCCCATCTTGTCCCAAGCCTGCCACACCCCAAAGTCTTGGCCCCTCCAGCTCATCACCCTCTCATTTGTTCCCAGCTCGGGACTCTGTTCAAAAACAGCAGCATTGGTTCCCTCTATGCTGGCTGCAGGCTGACCTTGCTCAGGTGAGGCTTCTTCCAAAGCACCTATAGAACCCCAATTCTCTCCCTTCTTGGTCTCCCACATCCCAGTCAACCACAGCCTTGGGTCTTTGCCAAGAGGAAGCATATCATAATGGATCCAAAGTGTCTGGGTTTGAACCCTTGCTCTCCCATTTGCTAGCTCTGTGATCTTGGACAAGTTACATAACCTCTCTGTTCTTCAATCACATTATCTACAAAGTAGTGATAATACTAGTACCTTACTAATAGGGTTATTAATCACTAATCGCAATGCCTGGCCCATTGTGAACACTCGATGGGATCTCATAGTATTAGCCAGTGTAGTATCTTTGCCAGTTGTGTCCCCAGAATCCCTGACACTCTCCCTGCCCCAGCTCATATCTACCCTACTGGGGACAAACTCTGAACACTGCAATTCTGCAGTATATTCCTTGAAAAGAGATAGGGACCTTCCCAGAGGATGTTACATAGAACCAAAGGGGAAAACAAACAAAATGCTGAATACTGGCAGGATATATTGCAATTTAAAAACTCACAAATAGACCTGAACTCTACAGAAATGGCCTATTTTCTCCTCTCTGCTATGCCCATTTGGTGTCCTCTGAGGTCAGTGGGCTCAGAACCCTTTCCTTACATTTCACGACTCTATGACCTCTCTTTGGGGTCCTGCATCCAGCCAATGCAGGTCATCCCACCAGAGAGGTGGGTCCTCTACGCACATGGCTTCACGAGAAGAGGTTCCTGGAGTGTTGTAGACCAAAACCGTCCTAAATGAGCTCCACCCACCACACCTGCCCCCATCTCCCCATGAGATGGGGGGAATCAATAAGATAATATTGACCATATGATATGCCACCCAAAAATCTAAGTGATGTATGTGTTTTCATTCATTTCATCTTTACAACAACATGATTATTATCCCACACTGTAGAAGAGAACACTGGGCTCAGAGTAGTCAAGTACCTTGAGAGGAGCTGGGATTTGAACCCAAAGTTTCTAGTTTTTGAGTCCCTCCTATTAGCCATGATACAGTGGTGTTCAAGGTCACTGGGCTCAACATGTTACTTGCATCCTTAAAAGTACTCAGAACTCCAGTGAGCCTTTGGACTTGAGGGTTATATCTGCCCGTATTTATTGAATTAGAAATTAAAACAAATGTTATAAATATGTATTCATTAATTTATTAAAAGTAATAAATCTGTTACATGTTAACACAAATAATATAATTTTTATGAACAATAGCAGTATTTCCTCTCCCTCCCCCCAAAAAAAATCATAACAAAAAGAGAGCCATTGTTTACATTTTTGCAGATATTTTTAATGTCTGGTTTAGGAGAAGACAGTAGGATATCTGCTTCTGCATTTAATCTTTTACAGTATTTCATGTCGTGGCCTCTGGAAAACATTTCACAGTATACTCCTAAGAGAATAAAAGTTAAAATAATGAAAATAATCTTACTTGGTGGACTCTTTGTAAGAGTTTATGACTACCAGGAGTCCCTGGGCCACACTTTGAGAACCATGCTTTGAATAGCGTGGATAACAGCAAGAATTCCCAGGCAGGGGAGGGAGGGGATCTTTCTTCCTGTAAATCCCCTGCTCTGGGTGAATCACTGTAGGTTCAGCTGAAATTCAGGACAAGAGTATTTTTGAACCACATTGCCCCTTATCACCTCTTAATTCATTTTCTCTATTTTTCTCCAAACTTGGTTACCTGCTCCAAAGGTGCTCCCATGGAGTTGACCTTAGCCTTGGGACTCACCAACATGAAACAAAGTCTTCCCTTCAGGCTCCATGATGGTGTTGCACAATGTCACAACCAGCCATAGGGGTGACTCACTCACCCCCTCCAAGGTCCTCAGTCCTTTGCTGTTCCCTTCCACATGCTGCCTGGGCTCAGGATTCTCACTTCCTCCCTAGGAGCTCCACACCCCCAATCTTACAGCCCAAGCAGGACTCAGCTACTGGAGGGGATGCCATCTGTACTTACCTTCTTGAATGGATAGGGACTGTACTGGGCGCTGGTAGTTGAAACAATGAGCATGAACCAATTAATAAAAAGATTGGGGAGCAAAAGAAGAAAATTAGATGCAGAGTAGCCCTGGAGAACACTTAAGGTGGGATGGTCTGGATCCCCATATCAGACAGAAAAAGATGTGTTTGAGACAGCAGATGAAGCCCTAAGAAGACTGCTAACATAAACACCAGGGGGTACAATTGAAGGAAGGAGTCGTCAGGAGTGGTCAGCTTTCAAGTGTCTCTGCACATCCCTATTCCCGTGTCCCTCCTTCCCCAGGGCTGAAAAGGATGGAACAAGCACGAGAATGGACGTGGTCTGCACCTACCGCCCAGATCCCACAGGCTTCAGGCTGGACAGAGAGTGGCTATACTGGGAGCTAAGCCAGCAGACCCATGGTGTCACTCAGCTGGGCCCTTACACCCTGGACAGGGACAGTCTCTGTGTCAATGGTGAGTACCTCCATTGCTGTTGGGGTCTCCTCCTGAGCCCCAGATGGGGTCTCCTTGCAGTGCAATTTCTCAGTACCTGTGTTCATGGTTCTGGGCCAACCTAGAATTTCCATAGGGAAATTCTCTTCTGTCAGAATACCTACAGAGCAGCCTGCCTGCCTGCCTCCCTTCCCTTTCTTCTTCTTCTTTCTTCTTTCTTCTTCCTTCTCCTTCTCCTTCCCCTCCTCCTCCTCCTCCTCCTCCTTCTTCTTCTTCTTCCTTCTCCTTCTCCTCCTTCTCCTCCTCCTCCTTGCTTCCTTCCTTCCTTCCTTTCTTTCTTTCTCTCTAGTAAAAGTAATATTTATTTTGTACATTGTCATTTTAAATATTAGAAACTTTGAGAATGAAAGGGGTTTTGGGGAGGAAGTTCTTAGGAACCTTCTTATCACATTGTTTACAATACAGCCATGCCTTTTTCTATGCCAGGGTGAATTGTCCTATTACTTTCTAAGTTTCAATCAGATTCTAGCATTTTACCCTATGTGCTTTCAATATGGTAAACTATCTCTGAAAATTTCATTAATGTGAAGTTTTGTTTGCTGATGTCACTTCCTTTGGCTATCCTCACCTTTTTCATTACTCTCCTCGTGAATGCTGATAAGTTTGTCTTCACTATATTCCTCTGGTTGCACAAATGGAGTCTCTCAAATATCAGCAGTGTGACTATTCCATGGTCAGTTAATTTGTCTCTAAGTCCTACTATTATTTATTTTTATTTTATTTAAGTTTTTGTTTTAATTCCAGTTGGTTAACAGTGTTCTGTTAGTCTCAGGTGTACAGTATAGTGAGTGATTCAACACTTTCATACAACACCTAATGCTCACAGAACAACTTCCAAAGTCTGGAAATAAAGGCTCCCTGCATAGTCTTCTTCATTGCAGTGACCTTTCACAGAAACCCAACTGGAGCATGAAGCTATCAGGGAAGGAAGAGGATAAAGCGAGCCCACAGTGACTGTTGGCGTTCAACTCCTCCCCAACAGGCAACGAGTTCCCAAGGTGGTGACTGATCTGCTTCTTTCTCTTTGTTATGATAGCCTGTGGCCTTTTGCTCATCCTCTAGGGGCCAGCCAGACTACACCCCACCTGAGAATCAAACAACAAAGCTGTTAGCATTGTTTTTTAGCAATAAATCCCTCCTCAACAATGCCCTTAAAAACAAAACCCACAGTCACACCTATACTAAAGGCTAATGTTTATTGAGGGATGCCTGTGATCCAGAACGTTGTGTGTATTATGTTTTACAAATCCTGTCCAACACTCTGTGACATATTATGTATATTTTACAGAGGAACAAGCAAGGCTCAAGGAAGGAAATCTACTTTCCCAAAATCAGACAGCTAATATAAGTGGTAGCATCAGAACTCAAACCCTAAATTAGCTCTAAGGCCCCCAAGGGGCCCCCTAACTACTAGGCTACACTGCAGATGAACTCAGCTAGAACAAGCCTCAAATATCAGGATGGGAAGGCATATCAAGGAGCGCCTAATACAACAGTTTAAACCAATGCTCAATTAATTATGTCTCCACTGTATTGCCTTTGACATTGTCTTTCTATCTGGATTAAAACCTGTATTATATTTCAATAGTCCTTAAGAATTAAAGCTGTAGCTGGCAGTGTAGGTTTGGGTGGTTTACAGGTCTTTCTATAAGCCCTGGTCCTGATTTTTTGCTCATCCTGTGGCCCTGGGCAAGCCATGCAACCTCTCTAGGCTTCAGTGTCTATTTTTAGAATGGAATTTTTAAAAACGTCATTTAAGATTATTGTAAAGGTCAAATGATATAAAACCTGAATAATCTAAGTAAACCACAGGGCTCTCTCCACTAGGTCCAGTCTCAAAGAAGAGTTTCATTTCAAGAAACCCAGTCAGACCACCAAATATAAAATAGATCTAAGTTTTACTTCCATTCCCTACAGAGCATCAGAGAAGATCCAATCCGTGATCCAGAACCATACTTATTCAAACCCTCTTTTCCCCAATTCCCTCTTACTCTCCAACTTTATACTCTCTGGTTGACTCCCACCTCTGTCTGCCTGTCTCAGTCTCTCACCCTCATGATCTCAGTTCAACATTACAGAAGTCCAGGAACTATGTCAAAGATCATGCTGTCTCTGAAGAGTAGGATAGCGGGAAAAACTCAGAGACCAAGGAAAGAGTTATATTTAATTGGTGGAGAAAACACAAATAAAGCTGGAAACACTCTCATAAAATTGTTGTTGCTAGTACTCATTTGGTTAGGTTGATATTGCCTCAGGCACCTAGTGAACCCCCATAAGATGAGGGGTATTGATCATCATTGTCTTTGTGGTTGATGATCATGAGGACGACACGACTGCGAGCACCAGAGTACAAGGCAGTTAACTCATAAAGAGTTGATGAGTCTCAGAGAAAGCACTCGAGAAGGTTTGCGTTGTGTGTTTCAAGTCATACCCCTCAACCTTTTCTTAGCCTCCTCCCATCAGATTACTCTTCCTCTCTGGCTCTCTCTGCAGGTTATAACTATCAGTACTGGATCCCCACCACCAGCAGTAAGTCACAAGGGCCCAGATGTCCCTGCATCCCTGGGACACTTCCTCCTTACGCCTGCTCCCCGGGGTTGGGGGGAATGTACCCACCACCCCCCAGGTTCTCAGCCCCAGAGCAGCTCCAGACCACCCACTAGAGATACAAACTCCGGTCAACAGCCCTGTCCTCTCACTGCTTCATGATTGGGCCCAACAATTTATATTCACGTTGTATTCTTTCATTCCTTCAGCTCCGCTGACTTCTACATTCTCTCCAGGACTCCCTGCATCTCTGCCTCCCACCCCCAACTCTACAGGTAGGAGTCTAACCTCTGAGTCCCATGAAACTTCAACTCCAGTTCTGGTTGGTGAATCCCTGCATGATCTGGACCCTGCTGCCTTACCCAGCCCCAGCCTGTCCCACTATCTCCCTTGCTCCCTCATCTCTGGCCATACCAGCCTCATTTCTGTTCTTCCAGGGACCAAACATCCTTCCATCCTCAGGGCCCTTCCTCTCACTATAATGGGAACTCAGCTCTGTTCCTGGTTTCTCTTTGTCCTTCAGATTCAGGTCAGCTGGCTCTTGCTCAGACCTCCTCCTATAAAGTAGCATTTCCCCATATCCCACACATAGATGGGGCCTAATCTCTATTCTATCTCCATGATCATTTATTTCATGGAAATTACTACTGTTTGGATTTCTTGACTGCTCAAGCATTTGTAGCCCAGGGTCTGAGCACAAAAGGTCTTGGTTCCTCCTCTTCCTACTAAAATGTCAATGACAAGTCAGCCTTTGGACACTCTGGGATAAGAAGATTGAGGTTTCCTTTTGAGGTGACACGACACAGCTAACATGGAGGTCCGCTCTCCTCCCTTGGCTGGCTGAGGAGGGAGGAGATCCCAGATGGGATATCTCAGGCTTTACCTACTGGATACTATGGACAGAGAGACAGCACTAGTCCCTTCCCCTGAACACACAGCTCAGGCCTAAGACCGTGATGGGTCTCTCCTCTCTCTTTCCCTCCAGCTGCAGGTGCGGGTCCCGCCCTGGTGCCATTCACCCTCAACTTCACCATCACCAACCTGCTCTGCACCCCAGACATGAGGCGCCCAGGCTCCATGAAGTTCAACTCCACTGAGAGGGTCCTGAAGAGCCTGGTAAAAGCCTGACAATGCCTTCCCTGGCCTGCCTTGCCCTTGCCCCACCCACTCACCTCAGCCCCTCCTGCTCACCTCTCTCTCCTTCCTCCCCAGCTTGGTCCCTTATTTAAGAACACTAGTATTGGCCCACTGTACTCTGGTTGCAGATTGACCTTGCTCAGGTGAGACTTCCTTCCCTTACAACGTGAAGGCTTGCACTGTCACAGGCAAGTTCACCTGAAGGTGAGGACCTGAACATAGCAACTAGAAGAATCATAAATGACTGGGGCCTTCCAGGAATTCAGATGGACGGCATGCCCTCTGGCTGAGTGTATCAGAGAGGGCTTCCTGAAAGAGATGGCTGTCAAATAAAGGTCTTAAATTACTTGGATAAGCAGAGCCATGGCTCACTAGCCAGAAAGGGCAGGACTGACTCATTAGGCAGACATGAAATGAGGTCCCTCAGGCTATCCTCTGTGACAGGTGCTAAGGGCACCGAGGGAATCAGTCATGGGCCCTTCCCTCAAGGTATCCACAGTATAGAGAGGATAGCAGCCATATGGACTTAAAACCATAATAGGAACACGATTAATACAATGATAAAGCACTACACGGAGGCCATAGGAGCCCATAGGATGAACTTTTAGCTCATTGTGAACATTGAGTAGAGACAGTCTAGAGAAGGTGATGCCTGGGCTGAATGAACATTAGCCAGAAGAAACTTTGGCAAAGGTATTTCAAGGGGTGGCATATCCCTCAGATCTGTGGGGAACCATGAAGTTGTAAGTAGAGCCTTGATGTGATGTCATTTATTTTAAGTAGTGCGCTGATAGATACGGGGATGGGAAAATTTGATATGAGGATGGGACAGGAGGTGGGAAAACCAGTGAGATGTTGAGCTGGACCTGGATGTTGCTTGGATGGGGGGTACCAAGGACAGGGGAAGATCCAGGATGCTTCCACATGTTTGGCTCATCCTAGATGAAAAGGTCCCAGAAAAGAATGCACATGAGGAACTAGACAAGACCCAGTAAGAAAAATGTCATCAAACCAAGGCTGGGGCTGGGGCCGGGGGCAGCAAGCTGAAGGCAAGAGTTGAACAAGGTATATAACTCTCCCACATCTCAGGATGCCCCTATTCCCATGTCCCACCACCCTAGGACTGAGAAGGGTGGAGCAGCAACTGGAGTGGATGCCATCTGCACCTACCATCCTGACCCCATGGGCCGTAGGCTAAACAGAGTAGAACTGTACCAGGAGCTGAATCAGCTGACCCACGGTGTCACCTGGCTGGGAACCTACACCCTGGACAGAGACAGTCTCTACGTTAATGGTGAGTGTCTGTGCTGCAGTTGGGGTCTCCAGTCCCATGCTTCTTTATGCCAGTAGTTCTCAACCAGGATGATTCTGCTCCCAGGAGACATTGACAATGTCTGGAGATATTGATATTGGCTACATACATAGTTGGAGTGTTACTAGTGACATCTAGTGGGTAGAGGCCAGGGGGGCTGCTAAACATCCCACAATACACAATGCAGCCCTCCACCATGAAGAATTACCTAGACCAAATTGTCAATAATGCTGAGTTTGAGAAATGATTATATACAAATTTATAGTTCTGATGCAAACCTAGCATTTCCTTGGGGACTCATTTTCGAATGCTTAACACACCATGGGAGGCTGATTTCCTTTCCCTTTTCACCTCCTGGATGACATCTTTCTTCCTCCTTATTTCCACTGTTTCCCATAGGAGCCTAACTGGAGTGTGCAGACTCTAGGGAAAGAAGTGGGTGATGCAGAACTCTGTGGCTAAGGTTTCTGAATGGGCAGCGGGTGACCATGCCAGCCCTCACCCCATGTCATTCTCTCCATCATGACAACCAATGTTCTAAGTTCCCACAGGCCAGTCAGAGCTACACAGACTTCGTGAGATAACATCACACTTAACACATACTCCATGACTAATAACTACGTACACAACACTGTTGACAACAATGCCCCTAAAAGCAATGCTAACACTGAGAATAGTAACTGTAATCATGGCTAATTCTTATCAAAACGTTCCTGTGTGTCAGAAATTGTGATAAAGTCTTCATTTGTATGATCTCATATTAATCTTACCCAAAACCCTGTGAGTTTTTATAGTCATTTTTACAGAGAAAGCCATCATGTGTTCAGACAGGAAGTCATTTGCTCGAGATAATCCAGCCATCATGCATGACGGAGTCAAGATTCAAACAAACCCAGGACTGAATCTAAACCCCAAGTTCTTAACCACAAGGCAACACCTCAGACCATCCAGATAGAGAAAGCCTCAAATCTCAGGACAGGAAGGGGCATGAATGACCTCTAGCCTAACAATCGAGCCTGATCCTTGATTAGTTATTTCCCCCTATACCAACTTGGAGATTTCCTTAAAGCAGTGGTTAATAGTTTGAGGGTTGGTGAGTGATAGATCTCTGTTTTATGTGATGCTGAACAAGCTGTAAAACCTCTCTAGGCTTTAATATCCCATTTTCAGAATGGAATAAACATACATACCATGCAAGATTGTCCTGATAGCCAAATGAGAGAGTTCAGGAATAACCCAAGTAAATCATGGGGCTCCTCTGGGTCCAGTCTTTACTCCCACCCCTCACAGAGCATCCAAGGAGATGACCATGACTCAGAGAAACACTCATGAAAAATTCTCTCTTCCCCAATTCCTTTCAGACTCCAATTTTTATACCATCCATCTGACCTCCAATTCTCTTCTCATGTTCATTATCCTAGCCCATTTCCAAAGTTTCTCTAATATTCCAAACCACATGTACATTCCCTCTCCTACATTTTGTTCACTTCCACAGACCAGTCTCTCAGCCTGCCACAATTTTGTCACTTCTACATCACACACACACACACACACAAAAACCCCAGAAACTAAGCTAGAAAGATAAAGTCATACTATCATAAAATTTTGTGAACGGAGAGAAGCTGAGAGAGCAAGGATGAAGTTATCTTTGTGGATTGAGAGGACGTGGATAAGGTTTGGAACACACTTGTTTGTAAATTTGCCCCATTTCCTTGTTGTGTGTTGTTTAGCATTATTTCTGGTGCATAGTATATTCCCAATAAATAGGGACAGCTCTTACTATTGTATTTTTCTTTTGGCAATAGTAACGGTGATGGTGTTCATCATTATTTGCAAAGGACAAGGCACAAAAGGGCACTGAATAAAATGTAGCCATTATTGTTCGTTTATAAATCTCAGCAAGTTTGTTAATGAATTTCATCTCTAGGTCTACCATCTAGCCCTTTCTTTTTTTTTTTTTTTAATTTATTCTTTTTATTCTTATGTTAATCCCCATACATTACATCATTAGTTTTAGATGAAGTGTTCCATGATTCATTGTTTGTGCATAACACCCAGTGCTCCATGCAGAATGTGCCCTCCTCAATACCCACCACCAGGCTAACCCATCCTCCCATCCCCCTCCCCTCCAGAACCCTGTTTGTTTTTCAGAGTCCATCGTCTCTCATGGTTCGTCTACCCCTCCGATTTCCCCCGCTTCATTCTTCCCCTCCCGCTACCTTCTTCTTCTTCTTTTTCTTTTCTTAACATATATTGCATTACATCTAGCCCTTTCTTAACTCTTACCCATTATAACAGTCCTTTACTCCTTTCTGCAGGTTATAACCATCAGTACTGGACACCTACCACCAAGAGTGAGTATTCAAGACTGTGAAATTTCAATGCCCACTGAACCCTTATTCCTCAAAGCACATTCTTCTGGAGATAAGCTGCCAATTCTCCCTCCCTAAGTGTCCAGCCACAGACTCAGAGGAGTCCCCTACTCACCCAGGGTCTTGCTCTGAGTCCAAACAGAAGCCCAAATTCTAATGAACAGCTTCTGTCCCACATTCCTTCAGGATGAGACTTAATAATTTTTCCCATGTTCTTTTTTCTCAGCTCCAGTGACTTCTACATTCTCTCCAGAATCTTCCACAACTCTGTCCCCCATCCTCAGCTCTACAGGTAGGAGTCTGCTCTCTGGGACCTGTGAAATTTCAACTCCACATGGTCTGGTTGCCATCAACCACCTGGCCTCAGCCTATCCTACTCACTCTCTCCTTCGCTCTCTAAGCTTTGGCCACATCAGACACTTGTCTGTTCCTGTAGGGTCCTAACCTCTGTCTGGCCTTTATACTAGCTCTTCCAGGAGGTCAGCTGCACCTGGCACCTTATTGCCTTTCAAGTCTCAGCTCAACCATCACCTTCCTTGAAAGACCCTCCTAGACCACGTTATAGGAAGTAGCACATCTGAATACACACCTAGCCCACAGGTTTTCTCTATCCACCACCGTGAGTATTGTCTCATGGAATTTACTACTATTGGCTTTATTCAGTCTTTATGTATTTGTCACCTTGAAGCTGAGTAACTAGTCTTCACTCACTTTATATTTATTGATTGGATGAATGTAGCCATCTTGTATATGTCCACATTCGTGAATTTTATTTGAACATCCAGAAAATCATGCAGGATCTCAGTCATGAACTTGGTTCTTCCTCTGTCTCTTCATCTTGCCCAGATGAAGGCTCTTGAATCTCCAGGAACCTGATACAGGGGCTTGATTTATGTCAGGAAACCTGTCTTACTCCAACTCTTAACATTTATTTTAAAAACTGGGTCTGTGGGTATTTTTCAAGTTTACGCCATGACCCAGGCTGGGCGTTCCTGACCTTTAATGTTGCCATGGGAGTCTGGAGTTGTAGGATACAAGCTGGTGTCCTGTAATTTGAATTCTGCCTTCTGGCATTCTGTGTTTCATGGGTCAAGACACTGCAAACTTTTTACAAGCTTTAGACAGAATGCGCACTCTCCATGTCCTTATAGCTCCACCCTGATCAACTCAGCCAATCTGTAACAGACCTAACTCCTACAAGCTTGTAAATATGTGACCTGTGCCATAGACCAAGTTTTCCCACGATTGATGACGTCATTTTTCTATAGATGCATTCAAGATTTCTTCTTCATCTTTGGTTTTCAGAAGTTTGAGTATGATGTATCTGAGCATGGTTTTCTTTCAGCTTATACTGTTTGGGATTTTCGAAGCTTCCTAGCTCTGAAAATGTATGTTTTCAAGAAATTTGGGAAAGTTATAGCTATTTCATTTTTTTCCCAGTTATCCAGTACCATTTACTTAGAAAATGTCTTTCTCCATTAAATTGTACAGGCACTCTCATTGAAAATCAATTCATCATAAGTGTGAGGATTCGTTTCTAGACTTTCGGTTATACCCCCTTGATCTACATGTCTATCCTCATCTAGTATCTTACTGTCTTGATTACTGTAGCTTTGTCTACTGTAATTTTCTTTTTGCATATGTGTTTTTATTTAAATTCCAGTTAGTTAACATACAGTGTTACATTAGTTTCAGGTGTGCAATGTAGGGATTCAACATTTCCATACATCACCTGGTGCTCATCACAACAGCTGGGGAGAGGATGGAGGGGTTTTGAAATCAAGTCTGACTCACTAGTGTGAGTCAGGTAATCATAGCACCCACAGCTCTATACATGGTCTCTTTATTAAAGGTCATGAGTTACAGGGTGGGTGGGGTAGGTTGAGTAGGTGACAGGAAGCCTCCTATAAGAACTGACGTTTGACTCCTATTAAAAAAAGAATGTTTCTTCTGTGTTGCATGGGATTGAATTGATTTTTTTTCCTTTTCTTTTCCCCCTAATCCATGAGATGGTTCTAATCCTGTTACTTTTAACCTCTCAAGTGGAGGCTATCAGGGCCCGTCTGGAGCATCACCAGGGCCCAAGACCTCAACCCCTGGCACCTACCCTGCCCCATATCCAGATTCAAGAGCCCCATAACCTGCCTTTTGATCTAACTGCTGCATTAAACAATTTTTATGCATAACATAGAATTTACCATTTTAACCACTGTTAAGTGTACAATTTAGTGGCATTAACTATATTCCCAATGTCATGCCACCAACACCACTGTCCATTCTCAGGACTTCTTCATCATCCCAAACAGAAACTCTGTTCCCATTGAACACTAACTCCCTATAACCCCTACCCCCAGCCCCTGGTTGCCTCTACTCTACTTTGTTTCCACAAATTTGCCTATTTTAGGTACCCCATGTAAGTGAAACTATACAATATTTGTCCTTTTGTGTTTGGTTTATTTCACTTACTATAATATTTTCACGGTTCATCTGTAAGGTAGCAGCTGTCAGAGTTTCCCTCATGTTTATGGCTGAATATTATTCCACTGTATGTATATGCCACCTTTTGTTTATCCATTCATCTGATGATGGGCTCGGGTTGTTTCCACCTTTTGGCTATTGTGAAGGATGCTGCTGTGAACATTTTGTGTTCAAGGATCTGAGTCCCTGTTTTCAGTTCTTTTGGGTCTATACTTAGGAGCAAAATTGCTAGATCATATGGTAATCCCATATTTAACTTTTTGAGGAACCACCAAACTATTTTCTGTAGCAGCTTCACTAGCATTCCCACCAGCAATGCACGAGGATTCCAATTTCTGCACATCTTTGCCAACACTTACTTTTCTTTCTTTCTTTCTTTTCTTTCTTTTCTTTCTTTCTTTCTTTCTTTCTTTCTTTCTTTCTTTCTTTCTTTCTTTCCTTTCTTTCTTTCTTTCTTTCTTTCCTTTCTTTCTTTCTTTCTTTCTTTCTTTCTCTCTCTCTCTCTCTCTCTCTCTCTCTCTTTCTTTCTTTCTTTTCTTCCTCTTTCTATAATAGCCTAATAGCTATCCTAATAGATGTGCATGCTACTGTATTTAATAGCATCTGGCTTTGCTCTTTATCTGGAATCTGTCTTTGGTCCTAAGGCAGCTAGCCTATGTGCCTGCTCTGAACCCCTGCTTCCTGAGATCTGGACCCTCCATCTCCATCCCCAGAAGTTGTCTTAGAGGCCAGCCCAGGCCTGACTCAGGCATGGCCTCCTTTTTCCTTCCCCTGCTACAGCAGTGGTCCCTTTCCTGGTGCCGTTCACCCTCAACTTCACCATAACCAACCTGCACTACGAACAGGACATGCAGCGTCCAGGCTCTTGGAAATTCACCTCCATGGAGAGGATCCTGCAGGGTCTGGTGAGAGCCCCGTCCACCGGTGCCAGCCCCGCCCACCTCACTTCTGCCCCTGCCCATATCACCTCTGCCCCATTCACTTCACCAATACCCCAGCTCCCCCTGGCCTCCCTCAGGGCTTCCTTCTCACCTCCCCTCTCCTTTCTCATAGCTCAAACCTCTGTTCAAGAACAGCAGTCTGGGATTCCTCTATTCAGGCTGCAGACTAGCCTCGCTCAGGTGAGACTGTCCCCAAGAACACAGTCCAACAGGTGTATGGGACCCTCATCTACGGGCTCCCTGACTTTGTCCATCCTTGGGACAGCTACCACCACGGATACTGCCCATCATTATCACCAATAACAACCCCAGCAGCTAGCAATTCCTAAGATCCGAGGCAATGTGCTAGTACCTTACATTTCATCCTATCAGCCCTCATGACAGCCTCAAGAAGCAGGAACCGAAGGTGCGACAGGCTCAGAGGGATTGAGTAGCTTGTGCAGATCACAGAGCAACCCTGCATCGTGGGTTCTAGAGCCAAACTCCTAGCTCTCAAGCAGCGCTGCCTCTTCTGCCTCATTATGAGCTTGCAGCATGTGGAAATTACCGATCTGGCAACCTCTAAGAGGGAAGAACCTAAGAGGGAAGGAAAGCAGGCACACTGTTACACAGAGAATCCTAGATGGGTCAGACTCATGGAAGGAGGCCTGACCTGCCCTGGGATGGCTCAGGGTTGGGTTCATCTGTAAGGTAGCAGCTGTCAGAGTTTGGGTGCATCCCTTGGGTGCAGCTGGGGGGTTGGGGGCAGGTCGTTGACACTGCTCCACACCTGGCATTCTCACCTCCCACATCTTTCAGAATCTCTAGGTCTGGTTCTCCTCACATTCCCGTTTTATCACAGGCATCTACCTCCAGCTCCCCTTCCTTCTGGAAGAAGAGCCGTTGTAGGAGCTTCGTGGCTAAGAGCCTCAGGGAAGCCAGAGCAGAGTTCAAATACTAGCTCTACCATTTACTGAGATCCTGGGCAGGTGCCTGAACCTTGCTGTGCCGTGTGACTCCATGTGTTATATATGATATATTAGGCCCATACATAATATATGTACACTAAGATATATGTGTATATGGAGAGAGAGATTTGACCCTTGGATAGTGTGGGTTTGAACTGCATGGGTCCACGTATACATGGATTTTGTTTTGCTCAACACAGTACAGTGCTCTAAATGTATTTTCTCTTATGATTCTCTTAACATCTTTTCTCTAGATTAGTTTATTGTAAGAATGCAGTATATAATGCCTATGCCATAAAAAATATGTTAATTGACTGTGTTATCAGTAAGGCTTCTGGTCAACAACAGTCTATTAGTAGTTAAGTTTTGGGGGAGTCAAAAGTTATATGCAGATTTTCAACTGTGTTGGCCGTCAGTACCCCCAACCTCCATGTTGTTCAAAAGTCAACTCTGTATATACAAATATGCACGCACATAGAGAGAGAGAGAGAGAGAGGAAAAGAATAGGTATAATTCTGTAGTGTATCTGTTATATCTATTCCTAATATATTTTATTATACCTATATATATAATATATATAACTATAATATATATACCTATATATAATATGTATATTATATATATGTATAAGTATAATATATAATCATACCTATACTTTATACATAGATCTATGTTACATATATGTTCTATATAGACATAATAGGTATAATATGTTATATATAGGTATAATATCTAATATATATGATGTATATAGGTATAATTCCTAATATATTATATAATATATATATTACCTAAGTATAGATAATATGAGATATAGGTATAATATATAATTATACCTGTACTTGATATACAGGTTTATGTTATATATATTATATATAGGTATAATAAGTATATTATGTATAGGTATAATATCTTTTATATATAGTATATATAGATATAATCCTTAATATATATGATCTATTATATATATTTAGTATAGATACAAAAGGTATAACATATAATACAATAATAAATAAAAGATAAAATAAATATGTAACAAACATATATCATACACTTACATGTTAAATAGATCATTATATTATATTTATATTATGTATAATTGCATTGCATATGATAGATAGTGTGATGGGTATAATAACAACTGTGGGAGTTGAGCAATACAGCCCACAGGGATGCTCTGAGGGTTAAGTGATATGATCATGAGTACAAAGTGCTGGGCCCGCTTCATACTCAGAATTTAACAAGAGGTGATTGTTATTATAAGAGACATCCTATCCATGGCCCTGGAGTGTGGGAGCAGCTTTCTATCCATATCTCTCAGTAGTATATGGCTGGGTGGGCAGGTAGGTGGGTCAGTGTCCTGAGGCTGGAGGTGATGCTGAAACATGGACAGGTCACACTTTCAGACAGACCCACCCAAAGGGCATGTGTGCCTCTCTGGCCATTTAGTCTCTTGAGTCTTTAGAAATGCCCCAGCCCTGCATCCAGACTGAGTGACGTTAGCTTTTTGATCTCACTATTTGAAAACCCCAACTCTCTGCAGGAAAATGTCACCAAACCATGCTGTGGTCACTGTTCTGGGGCCATCGCCACCCATTGCAGCATGACCCCAGGCACCTTGTTGTGCCCATCAAGACCTGTGACAGGATGTGGCTGTTGTGGCTTCAGCTGGCACCTTCCAGGATTGCTCACCCCATCAACAGTACCCTCTGTGTACCTGCCACACACATGGGGCTTTCAGAGGCTATCCTCCCAGGCACGCAGGAGGCTTCAGGCCTTGATGGAGGGCATCCCTCTGATGGCGGCGGCTTGTGTTAACTAGGGTTTCCCAAGTTTCTGCCTTAGAGGCTGGCAAGGAGAGAGAGGGAAGGACCAACAGAGAGAGGGAGAGAGTTAGACTATGTGGTGATTCTTACCCAGGCCTGAGAAGGATGGGACAGCCACCAGAGTGGATGCCATGTGCGTGCATCGCCCCGACCCTGAAGGCCCTGGACTGGACAGAGAGCAGCTGTATTGGGAGCTGAGCCAGCTGACCCATGGCATTGCCCTGCTGGGCCACTACACCCTGGACAGGAACAGTCTCTGTGTCAATGGTGAGCAACCGTGATGTGGTCAGAGTCTTCTCCCCCTCACCGCGCAGCCTCCGCCCTCTGGCTTGAGAATGCGTGCCCCGTCCAGCCCCTAGGGGCTTGGCCCTGTGCACTGGATGTGCTGATTCATGGTCTCCTCTTCATCTTGGACTGACTTCACCCTCAGAGCCTTCCTTCCTAATGGGTGCTGTTGGAGAACCCCCTCCACTGCACCAGTGTAGCCCTGCCTCCTGTTTGGTCCTCCGCCTCTCCCTAACCCTTACCCACAATGTTCCCTCCCGCTCCCTACAGGTTTCACCCATCAGAGCTCTGCACCCATCACCAACAGTGAGTATTCAACTATGACCCAGGGCCCCTCAACACACAGGGCGGACAAAGCGCTGATGCCTCCTCATGCCTGCTTATGTCGTCTCCAGGAGGGATGGATCTCCTGGAGGCCACAAGTTATTTACTCTCTTCTCTGCCCCAGTTCCAGAGGGAATCTCAGCTCAAATCCCATATACAGCAAGCCTAATAAATAGTCTGTCTTGTTGGCATTTCTGCTATGTGATTGTCTTTCTGCTTTCACTGATGAGAGCTTTTCCTCAGCTCCAGGGACCTCCACAGTGCACCTGGGAACCACTGGGATTCCATCCTCCTTCCCCAGCTCCAGCCCCACAGGTAAGTACCAGTCAATGGCACATCTGTTCGAGGGGGCCTGATGAGTGTAAACACATTTGACATTATTCACTCAAGTGAAGATGGAAAGTTGTAGTAAATCTAGTGATGATGAGTCAGTCAACAACCTTTATTGAGCACCTACTTTGTGCCAGGCCCTGGGGAATATAGCAGGGAACACAAAACAAAAAAAATCATTGCCTTCATAAAGCTTATATTCTTATGATGATGATGATGGTGATGTTGATCATGATGATGATGGTAATGGTGATAATGATGATGGTGATGGTGATGATGGTGGTGGTGGTGACGGTGGTGGTGATGGTGATGATGGTGGTGATGATGATGCTGATGGTGGTGATGGTGATGGTGGTGATGGTGATGATGGTGGTGGTGGTGACGGTGGTGGTGATGGTGACGATGATGATGATGGTGGTGGTGGTGATGATGGTGGTGGTGGTGGTGATGATGGTGGTGATGATGATGCTGATGGTGGTGATGGTGACGACGATGATGATGGTGATAATGGTGATGGTAATGGTGATGGTGGTGATGGTGGTGGTGGTGATGATGATGATGGTGATGATGGAGGTGATGACAATGATAATGGTGGTGATGGTGGTGGTAATAATGGTGGTGATGATGATAATGGTGATGATGATGATGGTGATGTTAGGTCATTTATGCATGGAAGTGTAAATCCACAGGAAGTATGTGGATTTTTCTCAGGATAAGAAGGAATGAAATACACTTTCTTGTAATGTGTGGAAATGCTCCCTTCTTGTCCTTGTTCAAATCTTTAAGGACTGTCAGATTCTGTCTAGGACAAACATATGACATCTGTGCCATCACTCCCCAAGCCTTCATCCATGGCAGACATCACTAAATGGTAACAGCCTCCACTTTCTGAGTTCAAAACAACTCCAGAATCCTTACCAACAAAATGCCCTAGGCAGTCGCTACCAATTCAGTTGAAGTTGCCACGGGATTGTGGGACGGAATTCAAGGAAATTAGGTTCCTTGATGTGTGGAAGGCTCTTTGGTTTTCCTGGAAGGCATTCGTGAGTTGGAAGACTCTGCTCAAGCTCAGCTGGCTCATGACTGAGAACAGGCTTGATCCAAGCCTCTTCACACCTCCTCCTGACCAGTGTCCAGGAAAAGTTAGCAGCAAGTTTGGCCTGCACCTTTGGTTTTTCCTGCAGGAGGAGATGTACATTCACAGCTCTTCTGGGGATTCATTGAGGGATCAGACACTTGGAGAAGGGGGTGCGCAGGTGGCAGAGGGAGAGTCTGCAGATGGCCTGATAGAGAAATTCCTCCCTGGGTTTCAGTGGCATTTTCTGGAGTTTGTCTACTGGGTCTGCTTACATAAACAGAGTCATAGACACCCAAAAAACTCCAGATTCTTGCCATTTCCTCCCTCCCCCCATCCTTACAACTCTTAATACTTTCTCTTCCTGTCCTTCTGCAGGTTACACGCATCAGGTCCTGACCTCCACCCCCAGCAGTGAGTAGTAATTTGGGCCCTAACGTTGCTCTGCCTTGGGGCCCATCTCTCCTCCTCACTATGTCTACCCCATGTCCCCAGGGACACAAGGGGCCTGGAAAGCTCCAGTCTTTCCCCACCTTCACTCCTGGGATCAGAAAAGACAAGCCTGGCACAGGCCTGAGGAGTGTCTCATGGACCAGTGATGGGCCCCGTTTGGCTGGGGAGGCCCTCCCTCCTGCCATATTGGCCTCACTGTGTTTTCTTCTCTGTTGCACCAGCCTCTACCATCTCCCCAGCAACCTCAGCGACCCCCATCCCTACCTCCACAGGTAAGAGATTCCTCTCTGCCATTCCTACCCTGCAAATGTCTTGTGCACTTGGCCAGTGGGAGGTATCACATGGAGCACCATGCCCATTCATTCATTCATTCACTCAAGAAGCATTCAGTTAGCCCTTAATGGATGAAAGGCCCTGGTAATGCAGCAGTGAACAGAACAGAAAGGGCCCTAGTCTTTGATGGGCTTTCAGCAAGAAAGAGAATAAGGACTCGAGTGTACAAATAAGTATTGAATTACAATCAGCATGGTTGTGGGGTGAGTTCTGCAGGTGTGTGTGGGGGTTGCTCTCTCTCTCGAGTACTTGGTTTTCATTTCCAAGAAAGAAGGGAGCAGTATGAGCTACATGTGTACCTGAAAATGCCCTCGTATAGGTCCTGGTTAGGGATTTGGGCAGACTCTAGTTGGGCCAAGGGCTAACTTGCCATTCTTGGCATCTCAGTGGCCCAAGATAAATTTTGATACCACCTACTGACCCTGATAAGGGTCCTGGATGACCCATCATTACTAACACTGTCTTACTTGAGTCTCTAGTTACTCACCAGCTAGGACCTTCTGAAGGTGTTCTGACTACTGACCACTCAGGCCAGAGTGAGCAGGTCACTGTATGGACCTGCCCTTGGTGTTAAGGTGGATGGGTTAGGAGCACAGACTGCGACCACAATGCCCAGGTTTGAACTATGCTCTGCCATTTATAGATTGTGTGACTGCAGGCAAATTATTTAACCATCCTTGGGCTCAGTTTTTACATCTGTAAAATGGGGATAAGAATACTATCTCCCTCTGAAGGGTTTGCCTCAAGGCTTAAATGGGTTAAAATTTAAGTGAAGCACTTAAAACAGGGCCTGACCCATACAAATGCAATGTGTTTCTTCAAATAAATCTTTAAAAATCAATAAATAATTGGATCTCACAGAAATAATTTGCATTAAAAAAAAAAAACCTTGAGGAAAAGTGGATGTCTGTCTGGAATTTTAGCCAACTGGAGGGTCAAAATGTTTGCTTTCTGTGTGATGATGCATTTACCTCCATAGTGTAATTTTCCACACTTATCCCCAGAGTCCCTCACTTAATGCTACTGTCTGGGATCTCCTTCCTATTGAAACTGCCCATCTTGGAGGAAGCCCCTCCCCAGTGCTTGAAGAGACCAATGTGGGATGACCCACACTTAGTACTCACTGGCATCTCCCTCCCGCCCCCCACTGCAGCCACTGGTCCTGCCCTGGTGCTGTTTACTCTCAACTTCACCATCACTAACCTGCACCACCAGGAGGCTATGAGTCACCCTGGTTCCTGGAGGTTCAACAGCACCCAGAGAAACCTACAGCGCCTGGTGAGAGCCCCACCCTCAGCACTCCTGCCTCGCCCACCAATGCAGGCACTACCTACCTGTTCTCTGCCATGCCCACAGAGAGCCCACCTACCTCACCTGTGCCTTCCCCCATGCAAGTCCCGCCTACTAGTGCCAGCCCCACCCATCTCATTTCTACCCTGTTCTCCACCCCTCAGACTTTCTACTCACTTCCCTCTCCTTTACAGCTAGGACCCTTGTTCAAGAACACCAGTGTGGGCCCCCTGTACTCAGGCTGCAGACTGACCTTGCTCAGGTGAGTCCTTGCAATCCACGGCCAGGGCCGCCTCAAGGGCTCCCAGACCCCAGGTGTTCCCTCTGCTTCCTTCCTGCCTTCTCTGTCCATGTCCTCAGCAGAAGTGGAATTCAGGAGGCACTGGCTCTTCTGATTGTAACCACCCCCCACCCCGCCAACTGTCCCCAGATTCTGCAGAGCCCCTCAGCAGGATGGAGACCCTAGTCTGGTTATCCTTCTGAATTCCCTCCTGTCTCCCTTTGACCAAAGAGGGCATTTCCTTTAGGTTTTCAGGGATGGAACTCTTAAGACAAGCATGCCTTTTCCACTTGCTTTAATCCAAAATTCTAGCTCTTCACCTGTCTCAAGTAGGAGCTCTCCTGTCCCCATGCCAGGAGCTTGCAGGTTTCAGACTTGCAATTTAATACAAATCCTCCTACCCATTGACTGTGTGCACAGCCCCAGGCTGGCCAGAGGTGGGTGTCATCCTTCTCACTTGCCCTGGCCCCTTCCTGTCCTGCCCTAGGGGTCCCTGGAGCCCTGCCTGGGGACTCCAACTTTTGTTACCCCTACCCACCCACCCCCAGGCCTGAGAAGGATGGGGCAGCCACTGGAGTGGATGCCATCTGCACCCACCGCCCTGACCCTGTGGGCCCTGGGCTGGACAGAGAGCAGCTGTACCAGGAGTTGAGCCAGCTGACCAATGGCATCACCAGGCTGGGTCCCTACACCCTGTACCCAGACAGTCTCTACATCAATGGTGAGGATTGCCATCTGCATCCACATTTCAACAGGCCCCACGTCCTCCTCTCCATCCCTCCCTTTCACTCATCACTCATCCTTCTCACCTGTTCTCCCTCTACCTGTGCAGGTTACACCCGCCAGACCTGGGCCACCACCCCCAGCAGTAAGTATTCAGAGGCTTCAGAAGTCTCTGAAACCCCATGACTCCCTCTGCAACCTTAGAATGGAAGCGGCCAGGAGCCCACTGCCTGCCCTCTGCACCCCTGCTCCACCCCCAGCCTCAGGGGAACGGGGACCTATACCCATTAAAGCTCCAGATGTAGGCGCTGGTCCCTGGCATCTGCAGGATGATGAGGTCCCCACCCCAAGCACTGGTTTGCTCCCAGCTTCTGGGATGACAGAGGGTACCTCAATGATGAGGGTCGTGTTGGGCTGTGGGTCTCCTCCGCACGGAGGGGGCTCTGCTGCATCAGGATTCTGTATGAGTTCAGACCTCCATCGGGGGTTCACATTTCCAAGTGCTTTGAGCAGGTCCTTTGTCTGTCTGGAGATGGTGGGGGGGGGGGCGGCAAGTAGACTTTGATCCCTTCCAGTGCTTAATCGTCTTCCTTTTAAAGAATCCCAGCTGTGATGGTCCAGTGCCATCTCTCCAGCAGCCGAGTTGCCTCTTCATTGAGGACCTCTCCCTTCCCCTCCTCACTGTCGCTCCCTCTCTTTGCAGGTTACACCTATCCAGCTTCAGCCACCACCCCCAACAGTGAGTATTTCAGACCTCTGTGTGCCCGGGACCGCCACCTTTTCCCTAAAGATAGGAGCTGCTCAACCAGCCAGGCCTTCCCTCCCGTTCCCCCCTTCTGGATGGGAAGGAGTCCAGAGGATGTGCATGGAAGTGTGGGCTGAGCTGGAGGTGACAGGAGCCACCCCTCCCCACAACACAACCGGGGACAATGCTCTGACTCCAGGCTACATGGGGCATAGAGACAGGCACACAGTTTAAAACTAGAGCTGCCTCCACCGCCATCATTCCCTTACAGGTGTAACACTTTTGATTTCATCCCTTGCATTCTTTTCCCTCTCCTACTGTGACCTCTGCATCCTTCCCCATGTCCTCTCTGGCTCCATCCCTCAAGCCTGCAAGTAGGAAGGTCCTACCGGTACCAAAATCATTTCTACAAAATCATTCATTCAAGATCACTTCTTCCCTCGTTATTGCTTACTTAGCTTCCCCAAGGAAAATCATGCATTTCTGTGGGTTTCAGGGACCATCTAGCTGCTCAGGGTCCAGCTGTTCAGAATCCTAATCCTGAGTCTAGCCCACTCCACACAGCAGCTCTTGGCCCTTGGTCCACCCACCTCCTTGACATCACCCAACCCCTTGGTCTCTGACCCTGAAGTCACCATCTTCTCCCAAACTCGCTCCTTTCCCTTATCACCAAAGGCAAGGACACAGGTGCCAAACTTGACCCTCCCTCTCACTCACCTCCCACATAATCCATCACCAAATCATTTCTTCTCCCTTCATAATATCTTGTAAGTCCTTTCTCTGTCTCTGTGTCATTCAGCCTTTATTCAGGCCACTGGCATTTTTTGCTAGGACTCGTGCAGTAGCCTCTACTCTGGTCTCCTACAGTCCTCTGCACAGCAGCCGCCAACAGCCCTCCCAGTGTACCTCTGTTCACATAATTCCTGTCTTGTTGGCACTCTTTGGATGACTCCACCTTATCTACAAGTCATGTCCAAACCCCTGAGCCGTAGAGTTACTGCCCCCCTTTCAGGGCTCAGAGGGCCCCTCCAGTCTCATGTCTATACTTCCACAGGGCGATAATGAAAACATTCAAGTCCCTTGAGTGCAACTGCTCTGTCCTCCTGTCAGGCTCATACCCAGACTGATTCTTCTGCTTGAGCACTCTTCCACTTTCTCAGCCCCTGTTCACCTCTAACTCTTGTTCATGCTTTTGGTCACACCTGAAATGATGCTTCCTCCTGGAAGCTATCCTCAGTCATTGGTTGGGTGCCTCCCTGGAACTGCACAGCCTCCCGGCTCCTCTGCTGCATATCAGTCTGACTACTCTCCTGGCCACAATATTAGAAGACTATGCCCTATTCACCCTTGGACCCACAGAGCCCAGCACAGAGCCTCGCACACATTAGATGCCCAATATACACTGCCTGAATGAATGAGCAAAAGTTCCCAGTGTCTCAAAAATCCCATAACATTCTCTCCTTCAGCTTCTGCAGTCCGTGGCTGTACTTAGGCCCATTGCTGGGTGCTCCACTGTTAGAGCTCCAGGCAACCTTGGTCCTTACTAGGGTCCAAACTGGACATTTTTCTCTTCCTCCCCCACTACAGCCACTGGTCCCACTCTGGTGTCCTTCACCCTGAACTTTACCATCACCAACCTGCACTACACTGAAGACATGGGGCACCCATCTTCTTCCAAGTTCAATTCCACTGAGAGGATCCTCCAGCACTGGGTGAGAGCCCCTCAATGACCACCATTGGCCCCACCACACACCTGCTTGTGTAGTCCTTCAGCCCTTCTGCTCACCGCCTTCTTTTTCTCCACCAGCTCAGGCTTTTGTTCAGTAAGACCAGTGTCGGCCCCCTCTACGCTGGCTGCAGACTGGCCTCGCTCAGGTGAGACCCCCAGATGGAGGGATGCTTGGGTCTGGTGGACCCTCACGTATTGGCCAGCAGGGCTCAGTTCCTGGGCATGCCTTTGGCACTGCTGGCCTCCGGCACCCACCATAACACCTTCATGTGTTCGTGCCCAGATGGTGGGAATGCTCAATCCTTAGAAATGAGGCGTCATGTTTATACTTACGGAATCCAGATGATCGTTTGTTTTAGATGAAAGTTTTCCTCTTAGAAGAACAACTATATCTTGTCTTCATATTCCAGTTAAAGTGTTTTCTGTTCTTAGTTGTAAGGGGGTTGTCTCAGACAAGAGACACTTATGAGAGCCCCTCTGGGCTTGAGCCAGCCCTTTCTGTCCCCTCTCAGCCTCCTGCCTTCTACTCTCTCTTGCTTTCCAAATCCAGAAGGACCCCTCCTCAGTATTGCACATCCCCATGTCCTTCCTTCCCCAGGCTTGAGAAGGGTGGAGCCGCCACTGGAGTGGACATCACCTGCACCATCCACTCTGATCCTGCAGGCCCCAGGCTGGACAAAGAGCAGCTGTACTGGGAGCTGAGCCGTGAGACCTATGGCATCACCCAGCTGGGGTCCTTCACCCTGGACAGGGACAGCCTCTACGTCAATGGTGAGGGGCTGTGCTCCAGGCAGGGTCTCTCTCCTGGCCAGAGTTTTGTGTTTCTCCAAAAGGAGCTGTGGTACATCTCCTTCTCTAACCTCAGTTCAGTCTTCATTCTGATGATGTAACCATGGGCTCCAGCCACCTACAATCTCCTTGCCTGGATACCTCCTCCCTGAGCATCCCTCCACTCCCTCTTCCCCTCTACGTTTCCTACAAAGGCCCCTAAATCCTGCCTTTCCCTTAATCCCTTATGCTCACCCTGACTCTTGCTCATCTCCTCTGGCCTTCTCTCCGCAGGTTATAACTATGGAGCCATAGCCCCGACTACCACTAGTGAGTATTCCTGGCCCTGGTTTCCTGGGTGCCGTCCCCACTCTGTTCTCCTTTACCTCCTGTCCTTGGTGAGGAAAACATGTGGAAGGGCCCCTCACTCATCCCTTCTCTCCCTGGGTTCTGGTGGAGAGCCCCATCCCAGGGCAAGAGCATCTCACCTACAGGTCTGTCCTCCCACCATTCTGACCCTCACATGGTTATCACTCAGATTCTCCTAAAACCCTGCCCTGGTACTCTTCTCTCATCCTTTTACTCACCCCTCTGTTTGTTGTTCTGAGGGTGTCTCAACATCAGCGTTGCACCATTTGTTGGGTTTTCAGCGAACACATATTGAAGCTGGCTGCCCCCTGGGCATCGTGCTATGTTACATACTGTCTTAGTCAGCTCTGGCAGCCACAGGCTGGGTGGCTCAGATGACAGAAGTGTGCTGGAGGCTGAAAGTCCAGATCAAGGTGCCAGCAGGGTTGGTTGCTCTGAAGCCTCTCTCCTTGCATGCAGGTGGCACCCTCTTGCTGCCTCTTGGCATGGTCAATCCTTTGCACACACAAAGTGTGTCCTAATCTCCTTTTCGTATACCAACAGCACCCAGATTGGATTAGGGCCCACTCCAAAAGCCTCATTTTAACTCAGTTACCTCTCTAAAGGCCCTGTCTCCAAATGCAATCACCTACTGAGGTACTAGGGATTAGAGCTTCTTGAATTTTGATGTGTGTGTGCAGGGAGGGAGGGAGACACAATTCATCCAAAAACACATGCACTTTATCCTTTTGTTCTCAGTACAACCACGTGACTAATTTCCATTTTACAGATGAGTACACTCAGGCTCGGAGAGGCTGCCAAGCCACACAGCAAATAAATAATAGAACCAAGAGTTCCTGTGACTCTGAAAACTCACAGTCTCACTCATCCATCAGTTAATTTCTTTAAAAAGACATGCTGATTTTGGGTGTACACCTGTTGTGTTCAAGTTCATCCCCGGCAAACCCTGGAATGAGGACCTTGTAGCTTTTTCAAGAATTAATTGCTCTTGCATTAGAGGTGTGTTTTTGCAACCCTCTCAAACTCTCTTCTTGGGTCCATCTCTGTTCTTTTACACCACAGCATCCTCCCTCACTCCTTCCAGCATTAGCAGGATTCCAGGCTCTTCAGATCCAATGACAACCATCTTTTCCCAAATGATAGGAGGAAAAATAAGTTAGTCAGTTCCATTGACTGTGTTTTCTTGATCAGTATCCAGTCCTTAGAGTAGTTCCAGAAGCATTATAGGATCAATTCAATGTACATGGATGGAAGGCAAGATGGATGGGTAGATGGAAGGAAGGAAGGAAGGAAGAAAGGAAGGAAGGGAGAAGTGATGAATGAAAGGAGTAACAGAGGATGGATGGGCAGATGGAAGGAAGAAAAGATGAATGGAGGGGGAGAAAGAGAGAGGAAAGATGTCTAAATAGATAGAAGGAATAGATATGAAAGAAAGGAAAGATGGATGGATAGATGGAAGAAAAGAAAAGGTGGAGGAAGGAAGCAAGGAAAGGTGGATAGAAGGAAGAAAGTGAGGATAGAAGGAAGGACAGACAGAAGGATGCATAGAAAGAGGTATGAATGGGAAGAGGGAAGGAAAAGAAGAAGTGAGAAAGGAAGGAATGATGTATGCAAGGTTGGTGAATGGATGGATAGATATGATGGGTACATGGATGGATGGATGGATGGATGGATGGTTGGGAGGGTGGGTGGATGGATGGAGACATGGAGGACAGATGGTTGGATAGATGGGTGGATAGACAGATGATAGAAGAAAGGAAAGAAGGGATTGAGAGAGGTAGAAGAAAAGGTGGATAGATGGAAGGAAAGATTGAAGGAAAAAGGATGAATGCATGGATGAATAGAAAGAAAGATGGAAAGAAAGAAAGAATAGAAGGAAAGAAGGAAGGACAGAAGGAAGAATAGAAAGAAGGGAGCTTGGAAGGAGTAGTGAACAGAAAGGAGGAAGAGAAGAGGGGAAGTAAGTTTTTCTTCCAGAGGTTTGTCCTGAATAGTTAACCCTGTGCTGCTCACTGCTTATCTATTCTAGAGTCAGGCCACGGGGCCTCTGGTCCATTTATTATACTTCTCCTGGGGCCTACACAGGTCACCCCAACCATTGAACACTGAGCCAGCTGAATGTGTCTAAGCAAGAGCATGTGTCTT